TGTTCATGGATTGGAAGAATCAATATTGTCAAAATGGCTATACTACCCAAAGCAATCTATAGATTCAATGCAATCCCTATCAAGCTACCAATGGTATTTTTCACAGAACTAGAACAAATAATTTCACAATTTGTATGGAAATACAAAAAAACCTCGAATAGCCAAAGCAATCTTGAGAAAGAAGAATGGAACTGGAGGGATCAAATGCTTGCTTTTAAAGTCATCATCTAGCAGCTTCCTAGGTGACTCAGTGGTAAAGAATCCACCTGCCAAGGCAGGAGATGGAGGAGACACATGTTCGATCCCTGGGTTGGGAAGATCCCCTGAAGGAAGGCAAAACGACTCACCCCAGTCTTCTTGCCTGGAGAATCCCATGGACGGAGGAGTCTGGAGGGCTATAGTTCATGGGGTCACAAAAGAGTCGGACACGACTTAGCAACTAAACAACCACCATAAAGTCATTGTCTACTTTTCATTTCCACAACCACAACCATAATTCCAGGACCCTATCCATACCCATGATATATGCCGGCCTACAGCATGCAGATGCTGAACCCCGATCAGCCGCATGAGGAGATTTGGGCCTAGACCGCTTCCTTGCATGTATGCATGCTAAGTTGTTTCAGTCAACACTGAAACACTTTGGGACATTCGACACTGTGGGACCCAGTGGACTGTAGCTCACCAGGCTCCTCTGTCCATGGGATTCTCCAGGCAAGAATGTTGGAGTGGGCTGCCATTTCCTTCTCCCAGGGATCTTCCCAACCCAGGGATCAAACCCTGGTCGCCTGCGTTGGTAGGCAGGTTCTTTATGGAAGGAGCCACCAAGAAAGCCCCACACAACCACCACATGATACTCAGGATGAAACATCCTGCACCAAAGCATGGCTCATCTCCTCACTACACATGCCAGATGCATAAGCTGTCTGGAGCGGGAGGTTAAACAGAACTCACACCTCAGACTGACTGAGTTGGTATATTTAAGGACTAAGGAGACAGACTAAAGGAAATCAACCCTGAATATTAGTTGGAAGGACTGATGCTGAAGCTGTAGCTCCAATACTGATGCAAAGTATTGATTCCTTGGAATCAAGCCAACTGATGCAAAATGCTGATTCATTGGAAAAGACCCTGATGCTGGAAAAGACCCTGATGCTGGGAAAGACCAAGAGGAGGAGAAGGGGACACTAGAGGATGAGATGGTTGGATGGCATCACTGACTCGATGGACAGGGGTTTTAGAAAACTCTGGGAGATAGAGAAGCCTGGCCTGCTGCAGTCCACAGGGTTGCAGAGAGTCAGACATGGCTTCGTGACTGAGCAAAAACAACCACAGGACAGACATCTACCAAGACGTCAGTGAGAGGGTCAGTGACACAGCAGTGACAAGACCTGCATCTGATGGAAAGGTCAGCCAAGCTCTCACCAAGGGCAATCACCATGAGAACCAGACGCATGTCCTCTCAGCTGGGTGGGAAACAGCATTACATTCAACATCCATAATGCCTTCCTTACAAAAAGACTGGCATAAAGTTAAAATGTAAAAAACAAAGAAGTAATCTATCTGATAACCAAGAAAACAATTAAGTAACATAAGTAAACCCTCAGATTATGAAAATACTGGACTTCATACATTAGAACATTAAGATAACTATTTTAAACATACTAAATAAAATAGAGGAAAAGAGGACAAAAAATGAATGGATAAAAAGAGAATTTAATAATTTGAATCTTGAAAAAGGAATAAAAAACACCTTATAGAGTCAAAAACTACAACATCTGGAATAACTCATTAGGGCAGTCTAGACAATGCCAAAAAAAAATAGTAATTACCCAAACTTAAAGAAGAGGAAAAAAAGGAAGCAACATAAAAGAGAAGAAAATGCACACAGAAACATTCAAACTGTAGCATATTGTAGTTTAGCTTCCACGGAGCTAAACTACAATACGGAAAGAAGGCCAATTTGAAAAAATAATGCCAACAAAATTTGAAACTGATGAAAGGGATTAAATGACAGTTTCAGACATCTGAAAACACCAAAATGAGATAAGCAGTCTCCTTCCTTCTGTCTCTTTCTCTCCCTCACACACACACATACACACACACACTAGTATGGCAAACTTCAGTTAAAAGTCAAAAACAAAAAGAAGTTTAAAAAAATCCAGAGAAATAGGAAACATTACCTAAAAAGGAGAAAAATTACCTTCAACAAAATATAAAAAAGCCAGAGGATAATGTAAGATATTTATAAATTTTTCAGAAAAAATAAACAAAACCAAAGATGCCAGCCTAGAACTTCATACAAAGTAAAAATACAAAATACAGACTTTTTCAGAAAAACGACAGCTGAAATAATGCATTAAAAGCAACCCACAGTATAAGACCCTCTAAAAGAAGTGCTTGAAAGCGACGGAAATGTTTCACGATGAAGGCACAGAAGAGCAAGAAAGGCTGAGGGAAGGCTGACGGCGCAGGTGAGCGCAAAGCCACACTGGCTGCCGAGACAGCCGTCACGCTCTTGCGCAGTACGTGCAGAGGTAAATAAAATGTGACGGCTCCACACACGGCAGAGAAGAGGAGAGATGGAGCTCTTGGACTGTCTGGAAAGTAGTAAAGACGATAAATTAAAAAATGCCATGAAGGCAAGGATGCACGTTTTAACTCTAGAATAACCACTGAAAATTGACCAACTTAATGAAATTGACATGTAAGAAACTACATTTGGCAGCTGCAGGGTTACAGGTTCTTTTTCAGCTGCAAATAGAACGTTTAATGTGATAGATCAAGATTTGAACACAGAAGCAAGTCTCAACAAATGTCAAAGGATTAACAATCAAGCAGAGCATTTCAAAAAGGTGAAATTAAGATAAAAATTAATAGCAAAGAAACGTTTTGAGAATGCTTGAAAACCTCCCAAGTATGTGAAAATAAGCAGCACAATTCTAAATAACTCATAAATCAAAGAACAAGTGACAATGAAAATTAGAAAATATTTTAATCAAATGCTAATGAAAATATGATATATCAAAACTTATGAGATGAAGCAAAAGCAGCCCTAACAGAGAATTTAGTGCCTTCAAATAAATACACTAGGGAAGAAAAAAAGCAAAACTAATTATCTGAAATACCATGAAGCTAGAAAAAGAACAGCCTAATAAATACAAAGGTAGTGCAAGGAAGGAAATAACAAAAATAAAAGCAGAAATTGATTAAATAGAAAATAATCACACAATAGAGAAAATCACTAAAAGTTTTTCCCTTGAAAATGTTAATAAAAATAATAAATCAGTTACAAGGTTGATCAAGGGGTTAAAAATACAAAGCACAATCTACTAACATCAAGAATGAAAAATGGACACCACTACAGATCTGACAGTATTAATAATAACAGTAAGAGGATAATTGTGAACAACTTTATGCCAATAAAATTAGCAATGAAGTAAAATTTCAAAAATTCATTATTGAAAAAATCCATTATTCAAAAAATCACAACTCGTGTATGTGTGTCCTAAGCACTTCAGTCGTGTCCTATTCTTTGTGACCCCATGGACTGTAGCCCGCCAGGCTCCTCTGTCCAGGAGATTTTCCAGGCAAGAGTACTGGAGTGGGTTACCATTCCCTTCTCCTGGAGATCTTCTCCACCCAGGGATCAAACCCTCATCTCTTGTGTCTCCTGTATTGGCAAGAGGGTTCTTTACCACTGGCGTCACCTGGAAGCCCAATCACAACCTATCAAACCTATAAAAGGAACAAATAGAAAATCTGAATTAAATGTGCAATTATAAATTCTTCCCACAAGAAGGATCCAGGCCCAGAGCATTTCACTAGTTAATTTATCCAAATATTTAGAGATAAAACAATAAGGAAATACTACCAAATTGCATCAATAATTAGAAAATGAATAATACAGTAAGTCCAGCTGAGGTTTTGTCTAGATGGGCAAGAGCATATTGACATCCAAAACTTGATGCAATCAAATCCACTACACTGAGTAGAAAAATTATGTAATCACGTTAGTAGATGCAGAAAAAAATATGTGACAAAATTTAACACAAATATTTATGATTTTAAAAACTCATGGAAAACTGGAAATAGCAGAAAGCTTATTTGAATGGATAAAATATCCACACACAAAATCCAAACATTATATTCAATGGTAAATATGGAGAATCTTCCCCAATAGCAAGATGAAATAATAACTTCACTATTTATAGTCAATATTGAAAGAGTGGTCTTGTCTACTTCCAGAAAATGAGAAAAGAAAAGAAAAGTTTGAAATAATCATTATAAAACCATAGCTATTAACACAAAATAGGATTGGCATAAGTATAGAAGGGTACTGATACAGACCCACACATATATACTGTATGATTAAAACGAAGCCAAAACTTCCCTGGTGGTCCAGGGGCTAAGACTCTGCCCCCAGTGCAGGGGGCCTGGGTTCGATCCCGAGTCAGGGAACTAGACGCCACATGTTGTGACTAACACTCAGCCCAGCCAAGTAAGTAAATAGAAATAAATACTAAAAAACAAAGCCGACACTGCCGTGCAGAGGGAGAAGGGTGGCCCTATCACCAGGCGCTGCTGGGTCAGCTGGACAATCATACGGACGGAGTGAGTCAGCCCAGAAGCTGGAGAGCACGGGGCTGCCACGGCCCGCCTTGTTATTGTTACACCAGCCAAGTCCCCGCCACCCAGGGTCTGCAGCTCACATGAGATCCAAGGTTGTTAAACAGTCTTTTTCTTTTTTTTTGTATCAGGATGAACATATGGTGGTCTCTTTCCATACTCTTAATCTAAAATTCCAAATTCGACCACACAGAAGCACGTCAACCACAGGGTTCTATTCGGGTTACTCAAGAAACTGCCTGAGTACCTGCAGTATTCTATTATGAATTTGGCATGAAAGAGCCGAAAGAAGGGAATGGCATCAAACAGATGCACACAAAGTGAGTAATATTCGTCTCGCCAACTTAGACTTCACAGGGAAAGCAAGAAAAAAAAGAAGGGGTTGGGGGGGGGAGGAATTTGTTGAAATTCCATGAGTTTGGATTCAATCTGAACCATATGTAGCTCCAGATTAGGTCATATTCTCATGATAAAATTACTAATTTTGTCCTCAATTTCGTCTGCTGCTCAGTATTTCCATGATCTCTTATTAGCTGATCTCACGCATTATTTATTTGGTCTGTATTACTCAAAAGATAAGGGACTTCAATTAAAGTCCTTGGAGTTTCTGCAAGGTGTATGGAACTCAGCTACCTGGGTGTTGGCGGAGGTGAGAGAGTCAGGTACAATGGAGCACAGACTCTGGGATAGGATTGCCTGGAAGTGAAGTCTCCTTCCAAGCAGTGTGATCTTGGGAAAGTTACTTCTCTCTGTGCCTCAGTTTTCTTACCTATAAAATGGGCTTAATAATAGCACCTCCTTCATTGGGTTGTTGTGTGGATTAAGCATTAAAGAGGAAGGTATGTAATACAGTACCCAATAGATAATCACTGCTGTAAAGATGTGTTACCATCCCTCCTATGCAAGAACCTACAGAAAATTCTTGCCTTCTAAACTCCACTGGTTTGGGCTTACTGTCAGTCAGTTCAGTCACTCAGTTGTGTCCGACTCTTTGCGACCCCATGAATTGCAGCACACCAGGCCTCCCTGTCCATCACCAACTCCCGGAATTTACTCAAACCCATGTCCATCAAGTCGGTGATGCCATCCAGCCATCTCATCCTCTATCATCCCCTTCTCCTCCTGCCTCCAATCCCTCCCAGTATCAGGGTCTTTTCCAATGAATCAGCTCTTCGCATCAGNTCACCATCTGCAGTGATTTTGGAGCCCCCAAAAATAAAGTCTAACACTGTTTCCATTGTTTCCCCATCTATTTCCCATGAAGTTAGACTTTCTCAAAAGGGCGGCTCTGGACCACTATCACTTTCCAGTGACTCTGCTGACACCAGTACATAGCCCAGGAGTGTTGCCACTTGTCCGTGGAAAAAATAATGAAAACTAAACAAAAATAAAACCTCACAGAGCTGAGTTCCATGGGCTGCTGACACTGTGGATGATCAAGAGTCAAAGGGAAGAAGAAAAAAAAGGTTTCACAGTTCCAAACGGAGTTAATTAACAATGAAAGTTGGGATGGGATGGAATGGAAAAGTCAAGCAGACTTACCAAGGGCTGCCCTGAAAAGGGCGTCCAAACCCCACTGAGAGTCTCTCCAACTAGTCTCTAGCTGGTCGTTAGCACCTGATTCCCTGGTAAGGATACATTGGTGGGTCATCAGTAAGACCAGAAGCTCTACAGACAGCTATAAATCATGAAAGGGGAGATTTACTTGAAAGAGTAAGCCAGAATGGCCTCCAGGAATTTCTGAAACATCCCACTGGAGCAAGCAGTGAAATCAGTTGTTGTTCGCAGCACACAAAGGGCCTCAAGGAAAGCAATCAGGGGGAAAAAAATTATAAGGTAGTGGGCATATTGGCTCAGACCCAGTAACATAAGACATTCATTACACTGAGACACTGTAATTCTCCAAACACCCCTTAAATCTCTCGGCTGTTTAATATAAGATGAGAGTAAATGTTCAGGTCAATAAAATTATCAGCTATTTCCATATCCAAAAAGCAGGAAAGGTTTACCAGTGGAAAAACGTAGAGGTTAACCGTGAACTCTTTTAATAAACAAATTGGCCGCACGTTATTCCACGCACAAGCCTCCCGTCACCAGCGAATGTGGCGTTTCCAGCATTTCCAGCAGAAAGGACACAGCACGCTGGGGCCCTCACAGGTTCAAGCGTCAGCTGCCACTTGCCGAAAGGGTTATCTGGAGGATGAGTGCCGTATAACCACAGGCAGAGGCGCGGAGGCCAATTCCAGTTAAGCCTGATAATAGTTTTTGACATTTAGAGACATTTTATCCTTCAGAACTCTTGGAGAGCTGAACTGCCTGCCTGAATCTGCTGTTTCTATGGAGATGCAAAGGAGACGTTAAGGTGTTAATCCTCGCTGACCTCTTCCGTGTTTCAAAAGATTGACTCTTCCCCTAAAAACTCAGCCCAGAGTTAAGTGATCAGCTGTTCTCTAATCTCGCTTAAATTTATATCTCGCAGTCTACTTCGGTGGTCTCCCCAGTGAGATGCTTCTACTCTAGAAGGTGTCCAAGAGACTTCATAGCGAGTAAGGAAAGGAACGATTAGAGCCGGTATGCAGATTCATTTTCAGTCTAAGAATAAGAAGGAAACAAGTTTCAGCAGCAGCAGAGTGCAGAAGGGGTGCTGGGACTATCCTGATACCCTTGTGTCGGGAAGTGCTGAGCTCAGCGAGGAAACAGGCTTCCCAGGAAGAGAGGAGGCTCTCCCGGCGCTGCAGGAGACGGACAGCCTCACCTCCTCCTGCTTCCATCTCACGGTATCCAATCACTGCTCACATGCACCCCGCTCACCACAATGACGGATTCCAAGAGCTAGTTTCAACTAATTTCCACAAAATGGACAAAGGGCTTAGACAGTTCATACAAATCAGGCATGGTTTGGAACCACAAGCACAGAACAGGGACCAACGGCAGAGACACGACGGAGTTGTGACCCCACGGACTGCAGCACCCCAGGCTTCCCTGTCCTTCACCATCTCCCGGAGTTTGCTTAGATCCATGTCCATTGAGTCTGTGATGCCCTCCAACCATCTCATCCTCTGCCGTCCCCTTCTCCTCCTGCCCTCAGTCTTTCCCAGCATCAGGGTCTTTTCCAGTGAATCAGCTGTTCGCATCAGGTGGCCAAAGTATCGGAGCTTCAGCTTCAGCATCAGTCCTTCCAATGAATATTCAGGATCGGTTCCCTTTAGGATGGACTAGTTGGATCTCCTTGCAGGCCAAGGGACTCTCAAGAGTCTTCTCTAACATCACAAATTGAAAGTATCAATTCTTCAGCACTCAGCTTTCTTTATGATCCAACTCTCACAACCGAACATGACTACTGGAAAAAACCATAGCTTTGACTATATGGACTTTTGTCAGCAAAGTGATGTCTCCACGTTTTAATATGCTGTCTAGGTTTGTCACAACTTTTCTTCAAGGGGCAAGCGTCTTTTAATTTTATGGCTGCAGTCAAAATCTGCAGTGATTTTGAAGCCCAAGAAAAGAAACTCTGTCACTGGTTGCACTTTTTCTCCTTTTATTTGCCTTAAAGAGATGGGACTGGATGCCATGACCTTGGTGTTCTGAGTGGTGAGCTTCAAGCCAGCTTTACCGACTTCTGAAGCCAGACTCAACACTATCATGTACTAAGTGACTGAGTTTGGGGAAGTTACTTCATTGCACTGTGTATAGTCTCTTCCTGTTACATACATTATAATGAGAAACTGTCATCCCTACAGCAGTGGGTGTGTTGGGGAAATTAAATGAGTTAAAGCCTGCAGTTAATGCTTTTAAAAATTAGCTTCTATCAATATCCTTCTAATAAGGGCAAAAGCACTGATGATCTAATCATATTTGATCACGGGAAATTATCAAGACACTCCCATTAACCAAAATGAAATAATAACAAGAATAAAAAACAATAACAATAATAAAATGTAAACCTCTAAGTTTGAGCTATGTGACATCACTAACAGTACATGCACATTATAATAATTATACTTTGCTGTTGTCATCCAGTTGCTAAATCGTGTCTGACTCTTGCAACCCCATGAACTGTAGCCCACCAGGCTCCTCTGTCCATGGGATTTCCCAGGCAAGAATACTGGAGTAAGTTGCCATTTTCTTCTCCAGGGATCTCTTCCTGAACCAAGGATCAAACCCATGTCTTTTGCATTGGCAGGCAGATTCTTTGCCACTGAGCCACCATGAGATCATATAATAATTATATTATTAAATGTAATTACATAATATATAATATACATATGGAAGGAAACATCGCAAATTTGGAACAAGAAGGTAAACCGGCAATTTTTCGTGTTTGTAAAGTCATACAATACACAATCCAAACTCTACAAAAATCTCATTAAACTTGATGACAAATGTTCAGAGGCCCCATTTGGGCCTTTTCACTTAATTGCACGGCATTAAGTCACTTTAGTCGTGTCGGACTCTGTGCAACCTTATGGACTCTAGCCCACCAGGCTCCTCTGTCCATGGGATTCTCCAGGCATGAATACTGGAGTGGGTTGCCGTGCCCTCCTCCAGGGGATCTTCCCGACCCAGGGATCAAACCCTCATCTCTTGTGTCTCCTTCATTGGCAGGTGGGTTCTTAACCACTAGTACCACCTGGGAAGTCCTTTCTCACTTAATGGCAAATAATAAAACAGTCGTATTTTATAGGAATATAAGTACTGTTTCTAACAGAGTAAAACAAGTTAAAAATGATACATGGGAGGCATTTTCATCAGAAAATTATTTTGCGGCACACAGAGAAAGGTTGCTGAAGTTTAAAAGAAATTGAGAAGAAATATGAGATTACTGTTAGAGAGATTTACTGTAGGGGAAAAAAAAACCACTACTAACAGATCTTAACTAAGCATGTACTCGACAAATTATACTTCAATAATGAAATTTACTTTTTGAACCAATAAATGAGATGTAACTGAGAAAGTATATTCTCAACAATAAATGCCTACTCGAAATTTTAAAAGTTTATGAAAATATTACATAAGGAAACACTGAAAAAGAGGATGCTTTAAGTGAAATGAAAGATCCCAGAGTAAATTTACAAAGACAGCATATGACACCTAAGATAGATTCACAACAAAGAAATCGGAGTCAGAATGTACAAAGTGCTACCAGATGTCATCAGCGTGCTTATTTTTACAGAAAACGCTTCTAAAAATATAATACTTAGAGAATATTATATCGCAGAGTCTTTCTCATTGCTTTTAGTCCTATTTAAAAGAAAAAAAAACTGCCAAATTTAAAGGGGTGGGATTTTCTTCTTCTATTGTTTATATTTTTCTTTAGTTG